ATAACGCTGCTCTGTGTGTGTGTGTGTGTGGGGGGGGGGGGGGGGGGAGGTCCATGCATCTTTGCAGATCAGTGCCAAGAACAAATTAATATTAAAAAAAGTAATCTTCTCAAAAGGACTGTGTATTTTAGGGACAGATGATCATGTTGAGCTGCAGAATTGATCCTATTTATAGAGCTGGTGTTAGTTCTCTTCATACCTATTGATCGACATTTTTCTAAGACGTGTGAATGGGAAATGACTCAGAGGAGGCAGAACAAATTAAACGAGTTGAAGGCTACATTTGGCTAAAACGGTTTCAACTCATTTGCATCATTTCATTAGTGACTTGTGACAACTACTGACCTCCTTGAGACGCTGTATTTTCTGATAGAGTACACAACTATAGTTTTTTAGTTGTTTTTTGGAGCCGTGTTGGCTGTTTGGGCCCAAAGAGGGATCTTTACAGTGACTTTTACCCTCAGCAAAAAGTTGGCTGAAAATGAAACCCAGAAGAACCCATAAATGATAAAAGTAATGACAATATTGAGACACGGTTTCATTTATCTGCGCTCATAGGGCAGGAAGTGGAAAAGCTCCGAGCTCATTCACGTTCATTTTCTCACATTATCTTGTTTTTTCACAATAAGCCAACATCTCATTACCAGCTGATTTATACAATTAGTCCGCTTCAACACTGCCAATTAAACAAGGCCAAGGTTTTTTTTTTTGTAGGTCACGCTTAAATGATCTGTCACTAATTTGCACCACTGCACCTCAGTCTTCTGTTGCCGGGGCCAATAAGCCACCACCAACAAGACCGGAGCAACATATAGACTTCCAGAGCATTGTTGTGAGAGCACCGTGCAGTCAGCTGCGTGGGAGGATGGTGGGTTAACGCGGTGAGACGGGTCTGAATGTGGCAGCCTTGAGGCTAGACGTGACAATGGGAGAGAGGGGGACCCCTGTGACCCCAGCTCAATGGAAAGCTGCTCCAAACAGCAGCGCGTTTCTTCCAACACAATAAAAAATACATTTTATTCCAAGAAATATCATTTAACAAGATAATTCCCCTCTATGTTATGATAAAGATTATTTTATAAAGTTTAATTTCATGGCAAATAAAAAAAAACACCCTCAGCTGATTTAATCACAGACATAACCCTAGATGTTCTTACTGATCTGGAGTTCATTTCAGTTCATTAAATCCTGGATTCACGCATGCACAAGATTAACTTTTATTTCTAACCATTCAGTCTACATGGAGAATTCCTTCCTGCTAGAAAAAAAGTCATAAAATAGATGGTAATTTAGTAATCCTTTGCCTCAGTACATGAGAGTTCATGTAATCACAGAGTATTATTATAACAATCCTTTGAATTAATAATTTGATGTTAATTGACAACAATCGGGTAAATAAGACATGGGGAGTTGCATTACTTATCTACTGGTTATTTGAGTTAATTATTTCTGTGAGAGTGGGGGAAAAAAATCACAAAAGAATTTATAATTGAAAATAATGAACGACGCCAGATGATATTAAAATGAAGCAAATGTAGGAATCCCTGTGGTTCAGTAAGAATCAGTGTCAGCTGGCTGTTACTGTAGCAGCATGTTGAACCAGGAAGCATTAAACAAACCCCATTTTATTAACAATCACATACTGGAATACAATTACAAGCAGTCAAGTTATTGTTTGAGTGGGAGAAATAGCTTACATTGAAAAAGTACCCTAAAAACGCTGAAGACTTCTTTACTTTTCTTGCTCTCAGATGCCAAACTGAACGTGACGATGCAGCCGGCATCAAAGGTGCAGACAGCTCACCTGTGGCATTTCTGTCAGACTGGCCTTTTCTGCTGCTTTGACTGCAAACACGCACGTTCAGAAAGAAATGCAACTTGCACTGAAAGCTTTAAAGTAAGCCCAGCATAAATTTAAATCACACACTGAGTCACTGTACATCATTAACTTAATTACTGTCCATCCTGACTCTGCACTGGTTAGAAAATATAAACATTTTAAATTTATATCCGCAGGAGTTCCAACAGCTGACCAGTATTTTTATGTTACATGTCAACATTTCTGCATGCGTGTTCCAAGTGTTATTTGAGCTCGAGTTTTTATACAGAATATTTTTACTACCAGCATTCCAAAATCTTCAGTTTCCGATCAAATTACAATTCCTAATGCATGTGTGTTTGGTCGAGGAAACGTTTAATTTAATGTCTCAGCTGTCTTTTTCATCCATCATGTTTCAGAGGCTCTGCATCTTTCAATCAACCTTTATTTCTACAGGTAAATCCCATTGAGCCTCGAGGACTCATTTACAAGGAGACCTGGTTTCAACAAAGAAGGATGACAACAGGACAACAATAAACAGTTATAAAAAGGCATACAGATTTGTTTTTTCTTTTTTCAAATAAGATGCAAAAAAGTAACAAAAACAGCTAGATTATAAGACAAATGTAGAAAACTAACAACAGGAACATGTCAGCATTGGACCCTGCCAGGAGTCCAACAGATGCTTAAAGCCACTTAGAGAGGTCAAAGGTCGAGAGCTTCAGGTCTTTTTACAAGATATTCAAGGAAACAGGAGCGGAGTAGGAGAAGGTCCTTTTGTCTAGTTCAGTCCTCACTGAGGGAACACTGCAGGTAATGATGTCCTGAGAGCGCACGCTGTAGCTGCACTCACACAGAGACATGTAGGAGGAGATGTATGAAGGCAGCAGACCAGGAAGTGATTTAAAGATGAAAATGTACCAGTGAGAGATTATGTGTGAAGTTAATGGTGACCAGTTAACCAGTGGATACTGGGTGCAGTGGTGGGTACGATAATCACAGCCAGTTATGAATCTTAGTGCACCATGATAGACAGCATCCAACATCTGCAGCATCCAACATCTGCAGGGTTCTTGTAGGAGCGTTCATGTAAATGTCACCGTAATCAATGGAGGGAAGGAAAGTCACAGATACAAGGTGTTTCCTAACATTCAGGGTGAAACAGGATCTGGTTCTGAAAAAGAAACCCAGTTTAACTTTCACTTTCTTTACCAAGTTTTCCACATGGAGCTTAAAAGAGAGATGTGAGTCGACCAAGATACCCAAATATTTATAGGAATCAACAAACTCAACAGGGACACCATTTGAGGATAAAATCAGAGGAAGAACTGCTGGGACTGACTTCCTATTTAAAAAAAGCATCCCTTTGGTTTTGTCGGCATTTAGGACAAGTTTGAGGTGAAACAAATCTGTCTGGATGATGTTGAATGCAGATTGCAAAAGCTGGAAAGCCTTATCAACTGTTTTAGCTCGACAATAAACAACTGTGTCATCAGCATAGAAATGTATGGATGCATCAAGGATGTTTTTACCTACATTATGTATGTAGATTGTAAAGAGGGTGGGTCCTAAGACTGAGCCTTGTGGTACACCATTGTTGACTGTTAAATAACTGGAGGAAGTAGCATTATGTTGAACACATTGCCTCCGGTCTGAGAGATAGTTAAAGAACCAACCAATGGTGTGTTCTGAGAAACCGATTTCTGAGATCCTATGACACAAGATGTTCTGATCCTTGTGTCATAAGATCTCAACAAGCAGCATCAAGCACAGAGGAGGCCAAACATCTGTTCTGACAAAACTCGAGTTGTGTTGTTTCATGTACTTGATTTAATTCAACATGCAGCTAAGACATGTTTCCTGCATGGACAGTAGGTGTCTGTAAATGTTGGTGTGCCTTCTGCATACTGTGCATGTGCACTGAAGCTGTGCATGTGGATTTGTGTGACACAGTCAAAACTTATGCTTCAACTCCTGATTGGAATTTGTCCAGATCTGCAGCATGTTTTAGAAAATATCCCCCAATCCCTCCGTCCCAAATCCTCACTCTCCTCTTCGTCCAAACGTGCTAAAGTAGGAATTCTGCAGAGTTAGTTATTTCAACAATAGAGGTAATCTATGCCATCAGTAGCTGCTCCCTACCTGGATGCAGTGTGGTTATCTCTGCAGAAGCAGCAGCACATAGTTAGGCTGGAAACTGCATGGGGGGGACTTTAGGATGCAATGAGATGGGGATGTAACAGTGGTCCCAGAGGAAATGGGGGGAAAGTAGGGGGATGGAGGTGTTGCAGATGAAGCTTAGAACATTCTGGCACAGAAATGTCTGATATCGTAATTGAACACCTGAAATTGCCTGTTAAATATCCAGTTCACAAAGTTAATTCTTCCAGTAGCATCACCTGAGAGGAACAGTAAGAGTTACGGGAAACTGTTGACACAAACTGTGTTCACTCGTTTGATGGACACAGTGTGGACAGGTAA